CCCTGCACCTCCACAGCGCAATGCCAACGCACAAACCATTAGCTACATGGCAGGTCTGACACTTCACATTGTCCCTGTGACGTTGACGTACTCAATAAGGGTGTCTTTGTATATGTAATATGAATGTTGTCTATGATAATACTTGCTCGTTATCGTAAAAGGCACCATTCAAGATGGGATCAGCAGTGCTACGGGAATATATGGAGGAAAGGAAGTCATGTCTCATCTGTAGGGTATTCATTGCCCCCCCCCCCCCCCCCACGATGTCTCTCTCCCACGACGGATGCTTTGTTTTTCCGGAGGGGGATGGTTGGGAGCGGACTGGTACGGAAGTTGTTTAAAATGACGATGAAAGACGGCGGCGAGGGTTATTATGACGATGACGGAAGGGAACCCAGGTCACTGACGGAGGACGGACCGGCAAAATGGGGTAAAGTGCCCATTTTTGATTTCCTAAACCCCTTTCTGGCGAATGCCGAATGTTATCGAGACTCGCGGCGAAGCTAAAGTGCGCCAGATAGATGTGGATCTGAAAAACACGTTTTGATGGGACTGGTTGGATAGAAAGCTGACGGTGTCCCCAGTAGGAAACAGTAAAGAGGAACCATCGTGCTTGTGTCGGATTTTGTGAAAAAGCTCGATGTCGCCGGTAAAGCTCTGTGTACGTTGTGTGATGATGTCATTCTATACAGATCGAGAGAATGGAGAGCTTTACAGAGTCATGCAACCTCGGTGAAACACAGAAAACAGACATTTCTACTGAAAAATAACTACTCGATCTCAAGCGCTTTTCGACAGCCTGGAGCATGTGTAAAAACAAGAGGAGTTGGCTAAAAAGAGAGTGGAAAAAGACAGAGAGGACAGATAAGCTTTTAGCGCTTGCTAAAAAGCTTAAAATGAAGAGAAAATAAAGTATTCTACCTCATGAAACTGTATTTTGTTGTATATACTGTAAATAGACATCCACTTTATATCATAAAATACATTCATAAACCATATATAGTAAACAGTGTGGGACTTCACTATCACTGTATGAGGTAAGAATCAACAGCTTTTTATCACATTTACACAACACTTAAACATGGCAGGGAATGTGTTTCCTTTTTAATTTTGATTTTGAGCAGCAAATTTGAAGTTACATATTGGTGCTCACCAGGAATGCATAAGCAAAATGGCACAAATTTTCACTTGAAAGAAGAGTGGCGATCTTGGGATTTTTTTCTGTTCAATTTTCAAACTGTGTAAATTTAATACACTTCATCTTCAGCATGTTCAGTGCCACTTTTGTAAGTAACCACGCCCCCGTCCAGGCCACGCCCCCGTCCAGGCCACGCCCCTTCCGCTTTTTTCATCACTCGCCATTGCCATGTATGTATATAAGACCGTTTTTGGAAATGTGAGCACATGGAGAGTAAGGCTTTTTTTGGAATTTTTTTTTTTAAATCGAGGAAGGCATTTTTCACAACAAAAATGATCACGTATAGTAAGGTGTTTTTACAGCCAAAAAAGACGTTTTTAGAAAAAAAAAAAAAAAGACCATGTATCTGAAGGCGTTTTGGGCCGAAAAAAACGACCATGTGTAGTAAGATGTTTTGGGCCGAAAAAATTGACCATGTATAGTAAGGCGTTTTGAGCCCAAAAAAAAACAAAACACAAAAAAAAAACGACCATGTGTAGTAAGGCGTTTTGGGCCCAAAAGAAGGCGTTTTTGTCACGAAAAAAACGACATAGTATAGTAAGGCGTTTTTGGCACGAAAAAAACGACATAGTAGAGTAAGGCATTTTTTAGCCGAAAAAAACGACATAGTATAGTAAGGCGTTTTTGGCACGAAAAAAATGACCATGTATAGAAAGGTGTTTTGGGCCGAAAAAAACGACCATGTATATATAGTAAGGCGTTTTTAGACGAAAAAAATGACCATGTATAGTAAGGCGTTTTTAGCCGAAAAAAACGACCATGTATAGTAAGGCGTTTTTAGCCGAAAAAATGACCATGTATAGTCAGGCGTTTTTATCCCCCCAAAAAAGCAACCATTTATAGTAAGGTGTTTTGGGCCGAAAAAAATGACAATGTATAGTAAGGCGTTTTTGGCTGAAAAAAACGACCATGTATAGTAAGGCGTTTTGGGCCGAAAACCCCCCCGACAATGTATAGTAAGGCGTTTTTGGCCGAAAAAAATGACCATGTATATGAAGGCGTTTTGGGACGAAAAAAACGGCCATGGAAAGGAAGGCGTTTTTGGCCGAAAAAAACGACCATCTAGTAAGGCGTTTTTGGCCGAAAAAAAAACGACCATGTATAGTAAGGCATTTTTAGCTGAAAAAAACGACCATGTATAGTCAGGTGTTTTTAGCTGAAAAAAACACCTTGTATAGTCTAGTGTTTTTGGCCGAAAAAAAACGATGACCATTTATAGAAAGGCGTTTTGGGCCTGGAAAAAAAACGACCATGTATAGTAAGGCATTTTTAGCCGAAAAAAACCGACCATGTACAAGAAAGCGTTTTTAGCCGAAAAAAAAGACCATGTATAGTAAGGCGTTTTGGGCTGAAAAAGACGACCATGTGTAGTAAGGCGTTTTTAGACAAAAAAAAAAATGACCATGTATAGTCAGGCGTCTTGGGCCGAAAAAAACGTTCATGTATAGTAAGGCGTTTTTGGCCCCAAAAAATGACCATGTATAGTGAGGTGTTTTTAGCCGAAAAAAACGACCATGTATATATAGCAAGGCGTTTTTATCCCCCCCCAAAAAAACGACCATTTATAGAAAGGCATTTTGAGCCGAAAAAAACACCATGTACAGTCTAGTGTTTTTGGCCGAAAAAAAACATGTATAGCCAACTGCAGCCCTGAACACGAGCAATGAAAAGTCGATGGATGGATTAAACAAGCGAGAATATTTAGTTTTCTCTGCGAGCCAGATGTAATCATCAAAAGAGCCATATCTGGCTCGCGAGCCATCGGTTCCCGACCCCTGCTCTATATTGTCCCTCGGTGTGAGTGTGAACGCTAATAGTTGTGCGGGCAAGAGGCTCAGAAAATGGTTAGCCATGCATGTTTTTGCGAACACACAGGAAGGCTGGAGCTGGAATTGAACCCTGCACCTCCGCAACGCAATGTTGACACACTAATCATTCGACTACCAGTCAGGTGATGAACAACCACTTTGCATTGTTCATTGGTGTGAGTGTGAGCACGAATAGTTGTGCGTAGAAGATGATCAGAAAATGCACAGCCACACACATTTTTGAGAAATCACAGAAAGACCGGAGCCGGATTCGAACCCTGCACCTCTGCAGCACAACGCTGATGCACTTACCATTCAACTACTAGGCAGGTCCTGAACACTACCGGGTTCCCACGGGTCCTTAAAGTTCATAGAAAAGTAAAATGATGACCTTAATTTTCAGGGAAAGCTTCTAAAATCAATAAAAATCCTTAAAAATTAACCTGTGGTGTTCATTTCATTTGTGTATGTCATTTTCCCCACCCTTCCAATTAATAGTTTTGTCGGAAAATGCACCTGGCGCCCTTCCCCTCAAACCCCGCTGTCGGGCTGCATGCCTTTCTGGTTCCCGCTCTGTTTTTCCTGCCGTCTCCGATCAGTTCCGATGATGATCACGTGACCACTTCGGGTCATTTCAGACTTACTTTTCACAACATACTTTTCCCCTCAAAAGAGAAAATTTTTAATCGTGAAATGGGACTTTTCCCTCAAAAACATTACTTTCTCAAAAGTTTAAAAAAAAAATCCATCTGATATATGAATATTAGATCTCTTTTAATATGACTTTATTCTCGTAATGTTCAGTCTTTTTTAAAATGCAACTTTTTCAAACCTCAAAATGATACACGATACATTTGAACAACACGGACGCTCTGATAAGGAAGGGGCAGTGCCGGCTCTTCCTGCTCAGAAAACCGAGGTCTTTTGCAGTTCAGGGGTCACTCCTTAAGACCTTCTACGACTCTGTGGTGGCCTCAGTCATTCATTATGGCATAGTCTGCTGGCCAGGCAGCATCTCAGCCTGGGACATAGAGAGACTGGACCGACTGGTCAGGACGGCCGGCTCTGTCCTGGGCTGCTCCCTGGTCACTCTGGAGGAGGTGGGCAACAGGAGGATGCTAGCCAAGCTGAAAGCAATGATGGGAGACTGATGCACCCGCGCTGCAAGAAGGAGAGGTACCGTTGCTCGCTCCTGCCGACTGCTGTCAGGCTATTGAATAGACAGACCTGAAAACCTGGACTCACTCCCACTCACCCATTTTTAATATGCTTATTTGTATATTTTATATTTATATACTTTTTGTCTTTTTTGACTTTCTCCTTTTCATAATTTTGCTGCTGTAAATTGGGAATTTCTCCATTGTGAGACAAAGGTTTTCTTATCTTATGATACATTTATGATTTTAATTCCTTGACTGTCCTTTGTACAACAGCAACAATATAACTAAACTGCCCTTCAATACTGCAATACCAATACGAATGTAAAAACTATTTGCGTATGCAGAACGCAATGAGAGTGGCCGTGTGTTTCAGCGCATTGGAATTAAGAGCGTATCAGTGTACATAGCATTACATCACAAAAGCAAACAGAGCACCAATGCTAATCCAACTCTTCCTGTATGATGACATCACACACACACACACACACACACACACACACACACACACACACACACACACACACACACACGCACACACACACACACACACACACACACACACAAGCTTTGTGACAGACGATAAGAAAGCAGATAGCGCATTGTTGCTTGACCTTCACCACAGTGGGATTAAAAACAAGTGCACACACACACACACACACACACACACACACACACACACACACGCTTGTGTGTGCGTGTGTGAAATGGCTCACCAGATGATGTTTAACCCTTTCAGGGACAGCGGACAGCGGTTATTAACATACAGTGGACAGTTTATCAGATTACAGGTTATTATTGGTGCATGAAAGAGTTAATGCAAATAAAGTAGGAAGATCAATGAAAATGTTTTATTCTCACAATGAACGATGAACTTTATTTTGTACACAGTGACATGTGAGACCTTCAAGTATATGCAGTGCATTTGTCTTCAGTAAACTTGACACAAAAGTAAAGGCAGTGTTCATGCAGCACCATGTAGATAGATCAGGGGACAAGATATGTTTTTACAACGCTAAAGATTTGCTCCATTGTTGCGTCATATTTTTTCGGAGGACTTCAGCAGGTGACTGAATGGCCAAATGTTTCAATGGGAGATTTTTCCTCAAATTTCAAATTGAATCTGGCTCTTTTTCTCTCCTAAAGAAAAACACTTACACAATGTAAAATGACAACTTTTTTTTTCCTCTGGAAAAAATATGACTGACATGAAACTAAGGGTTTTAAAAAAATTTTTCTTCCAGAAAAATTCCAAAAGACCTCTCATAATAGAATGACATTTTTTTTTTTTTTTTGCTAAATAAAAAGACCGACAAAAAAAATGGCAGTTTTTTTAATGTTTTCAAAATAACGACTCTGGTAAGATTTCACACTTTTTCCTGGAGAAAATATTTTTTACATTCGTCTTGTAAAATTGTGACTTGTTACATTTTTTTTTTTTTTCAAAAATATGACATCTAACAATTTTTGTCTCATGACATTATGGCTTACATCCACTTAAAAAAAATCTGAATTAACTCTCATAAAATTACACTGCATCTATTAGTTTCCCCCCAACAAATCCAACTTCAGTCCCACAAAGTGACTTTAATCTTGCATGAGTTGAAAAATAACACTGTATTCTCACGTCAAACATCAATGTATTGTTGTAATTATGTCTTAATTCTCCTAATTTTTTTAATGACTTGAAGAAAATGGCCCTTGATGGAAAGAAGGCTCCCCAGTCCTGCCTTCGAGTGACTTGAATAATTGTAAACTCTGATGTTTCAGTCCTTCTTGACCCTCATGGCTTGCTGCTTTCCACTGTTCATCCTTGGTAGCCGCAAGACCAGGAGCGAGGCGTCACCAGCTCCCAAAAGCTATTCTGTATCCCAGCAAAAACAAGAAAAAAAACTCTTTCTAGTAACCTCATACACACATAATGCCGCTTTTCATTTTTATTAGCACGTTCTATTTTAATCTCATTTTAGGGACGGCGCACCACTGGACGCCTTAACCATGAATTGGGGGCCGGCCGTACTTAAAGGCCTTTAAGTACGCCATCTGTCCAGTAAATCCTCGACTTCATCAAACGCTGGAGGCTTTCCGAGGTTAAACACTGAACATGTCATTGTGTTTCATCTGCGCGTCATCTGCCAATAGAAGCTCTTAAAATATGGCAGGATTGATTATTGGACTGACATTGATCAATAATGGTCCAAAAGCAGTGGACAGGAGTTCAGATCACTGAACAGTGAAAGGATAACCTTCAGGGTTCTTAGCGTGAAAAAAAAAATGTAAATAAATAGATAGATAAATAAATAAAAAGAGAAATATGCAATCCCATTTTTTCAAATGCACTTTCTGTCTCTAAAAAAAATACAAATTTATTTTTGTAAAATTAAGAAAAGCAAACAGCAACAACAATCTCACAATTAGGATTTTTTTTCTCCACCCAAAAATTCAATTTTAATCTAAAAAAAAAGCAACTTCAGTCTTGTCGCAACACAAATCTGGTCGGCTGACTTTTTGTCAATAAAAGGGTTCATTTTGTCAGATTTTTATGAGGAAACGAATGACAACTTCAAATCTCATAAAATCAAGAGTGAAATGTCCTAATACATCTATTTTCTTTAATCTTTTAGATTGTAGTTCTATGGAAAGAGTGTACTTTTCATCTCACAAAATTACAATTTTGTCTCGAGAAATACAACTGGAATCTTGTAAAATCCGTAAAATTTCCTACAAAATTTCATAAGATATAACTTCATCCATCCATCCATCCATTTTCCAAACCGCTTCATCCTCACTAGGGTCGCGGGGGGTGCTGGAGCCTATCCCAGCTGTCTTCGGGCAGTAGGCGGGGGACACCCTGAACTGGTCTCCAGCCAATCGCAGGGCACACAGAGACGAACAACCACTCCCACTCACACCTAGGGACAGGTTGGAGTGCCCAATCAACCTGCCATGCATGTTTTTGGAATGTGGGAGAAAACCGGAGTACCCGGAGAAAACCCACGCAGGCATGGGGAGAGCATGCAAACCTCACACAGGAAGGCCAGAGCCGGAATCGAACCTCTGCGCTTGTAAGGAGGATGCGCTAACCAATCACGCACCGTCCCACCCAAGGTATGTAACTTTTTTCTAAAAATTTCACTTCAAATATTTTTAAAACGGCTACATTTTCTTTCCCAAATCTTTTGCCTTTTTTTTTTTGCTCAAACAAAATCTTGCCTTTAGTCTTCAACAGTTAAGAATGTTAAAATGTCATTTTAAGGCCGACTGCGGCATTTCGCCACCCGCAGGATGTACTGTACAGTGTGTTTGTGTGTGCGTGTTCCATACCCCAGTGCGAGGACACCGTATTTGAGCGTACCACTCCTGACAGTAGAGGCACACCTGGACGCCCTGACCCAGGAAGAGACACGCCCACATGATGATGTTGAACACGGGGTTCTGCCGCTTGTCATTCATGGTGAAGTTAAAGACAACTGAAAGGACGACAGCACATGATGATCAAAACCAATTCTCGAATCAAAACAAACTTTAATGGGATAATAATCCTAATAATAACCATAATGGCTTTATTGTATGTTCTCCTTATAGCAATATTATAGCGGCATACCATGTATCAAACATAATGATGATAATCTAGCAATCTCATGGATGCGGATTTTCTTCAGGACCTCGTTACTTGCAATTTGCAGGAAAGCTGTGTATCCTTGATTTAAATAATGTATTTGTGCAATATGCATTTCATCTGTCACGCTATGAATTATTAATGGTGCTAGTATAAATCATGAATAGGCACCTTCAACTAATTGAAAAAAATGTATATTTGATGTGGGGCCGAATTATAAACATGTTTCTTCGACAAAAGTGGACCCGTCACGCATACATGTATTGTCAGCTGTGGATTTTTTTCCTCAATATAATTTTATTCATTTATGTATTTTCATTTTAGGGAGCCAAACACTGTTTTGCATGGGAAATGCATATTGAACATCATGAAATCTATGATATACATTGGTTAAAAAATAGACATGCACATATTTTTTAAATGGGTTTTTGCCATAAATCTGGTTAGAAAGTCCGCGGTTTGATGTGGGCTCCCAGTAGCGCGAATGAAAAATTATAGCCCCTCCATCATTTCAGGCGCCCACCCCTGGTATAAATCCTGCACAATAAAATGTTTTTTATCCATTATTACTGGCATTGATATTTAATAATAATATCTAATAACAATTAAATATAAATAATTACACTACAAATAATATAACAATAATCATAATACATATTTTTGATTGTCTAAAGTATTATTTGAAGGTTGATTTGATTATTTATATTTTCATTTATTATTACTCCCGTTATTCTCATTATTATTGGTATTGTTAATATATGATAATAAAGTCTAACAGTGACAATATTAACTCTTCTAATAAATAAAAAAACAACACAAATATTTGCATTTCATATATTTCCATCTTATGTCTGCAGTCTTCATTTTATGTTCCTGTATGTCATAATAATGTAGTTTTTTTTCTTTCTTTTTTTTTTTCAATTATTGTAAATGAGTGAAATTAATTACACTCGTCTAGAACGAATTAAGCTTCATTATCTCCTGTAAGGTGATCTTGAAAGGCGCCGATTATGATTATTATTTGCTCCAATTTCGGAGCCTTCCATACTATGCTATTTAGAAAACAAATCAATGCAGTACTCGGTCCGACTTTCCTAAAATGAAATTTGTGGGTTACCTCCGAAGATGGCGAAGAGGCAAAACATGACGGGATAGAAAAATCCAAAGCCCATGGCCAAAGCATACTCGTGCACCACGGCCGACACGATGAAGACAGACAACATGGCGGCTGTGCGGAACTTCCTTTTCGACAGCTGTGGAGATTGCAAATGGGAAATAAGAGACGGCGACTCACCGAGCCCTCTCGTGATGTCATCATTCATGAATTTTGGTCATCGTACACAGACAGTGAATACACAATTCTTTGTTTTTACTGTTCATCGCGGTTCATTTCATTTTACGCCTGTATGGACTTGCCCACGTAACCGTCTGTGACTTGCATCTATCGCATGAATATGATAGCAGCTTTTTTTTTTTTTTTTTAAAATGCAACTTCAATCTTGTGACATTTTCTCCATAAATACAACCTGAATTTAAATAATGACATTGTGTCGCTAAATAATTGAGTGTTTTTGAAAAATCAGACTTAGATTGTGTGCAATTAGGACTCGTTTTACTCTCAATATAAAGTTTCAATGTCATTCGGTTACAGTTCTTGATCTACAAAAAAAAGGCGATTTATTTTGTAAAATTGTTTTGTTCAAAAAATGCAACTTAATTCTTGTAATCGTACTTTTTTTTCCAACAAATAAAACTTTACCAAATGATGACTTTTCCGTTCAAAAATCTGACTCGTAAAATCGATTTGTTTTGCCCACCAAAATACTTGAATTTCATACAATCTATTATATAAAAATTCACCTTTGATTTTGTAACATTATGACAGTTTCTCCAAAAATACTACTTTCATCTCATCAGATAACATCGTTTCTCCAAAGTTAGCACTCCCCCCAAAATACAATTTTATTTTTATAAAACGATTTTTTTTCTTTAAATGACAACCCCACAACTTGAATCTCACAGAATTGAATTTTTACTTCAAAAATTAGATTTTAATCTCGTAAATCCCCCCCAATAAAACTTTTGTCATAACATTACAACTTTTAACATAGAAAAAAAAATCCAACTTGAATTATGTAAACTTTTGTAAACTCCCCCCGCCCCCTTTTCAAAGTATTATGATACAACGAATACATACATCTTCCCGTCTCCCGAAAATGTAACGTTAATCTCTTGATATGATCTCGAATAGCAGAGCCTTACCCAGAGGAAGTCCCTGTAGCCGTAGTAGTAGAGCCAGTCGTGCACCACCACGTTCCACGTGCGGTAGTAATTGGCAAAAGATGTCGAGTTCCACCAGTCCTGTGGAACAAGAAGACGATAATCAAAATCAAGTGGGGTCTTGCACACGTGCCAACAATCACTGCAGTGACACGTCAAAATAAATGCAGTGTAACCAATGACTTGATTGATAACAGTCAAGCGTGCAAAATCAATCCATTTTTTTTCAAACAATAAGCAAAGGACTGACACCAAGTCACTTTTTTCCCCCTCATTCTACAAAAATGCTAATCAAAACGGTTCCTGCTTTCACATGCAACCTTGCTCCTTGACACTTATCAAAATCAGTAGCATTCTATAGAACAACAAATAAAACATCTGATAATAAAACTCTTTTTTTTTTTTGCCCTCCCATTGTAAAAAAAATAACTTGTTTTTCGGGCAGCAAAAATGGTAATTTAAGTTGTAATAACCGTAAAATATGGATCATTGACATTTATAGCAAGCATATTAGTTAGCACAACAAAGCAAGCAAGTTAATTACTCCAAAACAATTTGCTGAGTTGTTCACAGTAAATCTTTAAATTGGAGGACAATACGAGGGACAATTAGTTCTGTCAGCTCTTCTCTGTGAAAAATAAGCAAAACGTAAAATATTTTCATATATTAGCAAAACTTGGGTTAGGGTTAGGTATTTTGTCCAATTGCCCAACTTTAAATTTGATCAAAATTTCCTGCCTTAAAAATTGGATTTCACTTCATTTCACATTTTTTTATTTTTTATTTTTTTTCGGCATAGGTTCCTCATTCCATGGTAATTCAAATGAAAACCAAAAGAGTTTTGCGCTACCCCATGACGGGATCAAAATCAACAAAGCTCTTTAGAACAACACCAACAAAGGAAATGTTTGACAAGGAACATGTCTTTCCTTTTTCCTTACGTCACAACAATTGGACAGCAAATAGAAGCAAGTTTTCACGCACAACCACGCTCCCTGAAAGGGTCAAAATCAATAGCGTTTAGAACAAAAACAAATGCTTGACAAGAACATTTCTTTTACATTGATCAACAATGAAACAGCAAAATTACTCAATGTCTTGCTCTCATATCCAGCAACGTTCAAATTCAAGATGGTTATTTCTAATAACTGAATAAATTGTTTATGTGGTGGTGATTTAAAATCCTATTGGTATTGATCACAAAGCGGGGGCACGTGTTGGACTGGTTGCTCAAAGCAGTTATTCCCGTTGGATCAATGGAATTTGATGAAAGTGTACATCAGGTCACTGCTGTTTACCAGATGAGCTTTCAAACATTCAGTCAATTTGATCTTTTTTGGGGGTGGGTGGGGGCGGGGGGGTTGATGGTGTTGCTGACCTTGTAGAACATTCTGTCAGCAAAGCGGAGCAGCTCCCCGAAGAGGTTGAGCCAGCAGTGCAAGAAGGCGAAGAAGCACAGCAGCAGCAGCATGATGCCTGCGAACCGGCGAGCGACGTTTTGAAACGGCTTCAGACGAACACTAAACAGCCATGAGTTCATCTTTGCCCAGGAAACAAACGGTAGTGTTCACAGTGCTGTTTATAAGCGGACAGAAACCTGGTAGTATGGAGTGGAACACGGCGAGGACCATGGCTCGCTTGCCAAACGGCTGTTCGCTCTCCGACGTGAAGACGGGCACACACAGACGCACCAGGATGAAGTAGCCATAAAAGAGGCTGCCCAGGATCTGTGAATGGCGTGCCAATCAATATCCAGTATGGCGCCAATCAGACTTCAGAGTGCATGCTGGGTAATGAACACAGCTCACCATGGTCACAGTCACAGCGACATATTTCCATCTTATGTGTGTGTTCCTGGAAGAAAATACAAGTTGGCATTGGACACGAGAAGCGTTGATTACTCGACTGACGATTACTTAATCACTCCCTACGAATAAATGCCCCGCTATTCTCAGAGGGTGGGGATGGAGCTCTGCTGCAAATAGCAAATATCCTCCCCCGAAATAAAGAATTATATCGTGATATTACAAAATGGTGGAAAAGTCCCGCATTTCTATTAGTGCTTTGACCCATCTCATCAAATAGAAGCTCCGCCCCTCATTTTAACATAGTTCCATTGGCACTAAGATGGCGCCAAAGCACTAGTTTTAGATTAGACATGCTTTGGTGCAATTTTGGGGCATTTCAGAAAGAGAACAAAAGTAGCACATAGCTGCGTGCCAAATCCCAAACAGGCAGGAAAAAAATTGCACTGACATTTTTATAATCCAGGTTGCATTGGTTAAAATGCATCACTGTCGAGAGATGTTTGTGTGAGTTTTCTGAGGCTACTCAGCCGCCCTCCCACATTCCAAAATCATGCATCTTCGGTTTATGGCAGATTTGTGGCAAATGGCCAGCAACTAGTCCAAGGTGGAACCCACAAACCACTCACTACGCTGCCCAAAATGATCCCTCCCTCCCCAAAAAATGCATTTTGTGGGAATAGCGCGTCAGTTTGCTAAACGTTGGAACATGTGTAAACACACGGCAGCCGTCTTACCTGGGATACGATTCCCTGTAGATAAGAGTGGGACAGAAAAGGAAGTAAAGGTAACTGGAAAATGTCGGGAAGTGGATTTTCTCCCCTGGAACGCAGTAGATCAAAAACATCAAAGACCGCTATTGATGCTGTTGAAAAAAAATAATAATGAAATTTTTTTTTTTCCGGACGTTTGTGAATTCTTCAGCTTCAGGGTACCATAATGGGGAATTTTAGCCCACACTGGCTGCCTTTATTGTTGAAACTACTGTGCAGATACCACCAAATTATTAACACTTCCTGTGAAATTAGCCGCTGAAGGGCTTTATTGTCTTTTATGGAACATTTTGCCACGTTTCAGTCAACCTTTTATCTTCTGTATCTGGGGATATTTACAAAACATAGGTGTTTGTTTATGGAAAAAGCATCAAATATGTATATATGATGTGGCTTATCTTAATACAGATAAACATTTTTGTATGGTGTCCAATAGTGCTCTGAAAGGTACCAACGCATAACATCCGTCCATTTTCTGATCCGCTTTATCCTCACAAGGGTCGCGGGGGGGGGCGGTGCTGGAGCCTATCCCAGCCATCTTTAGGCAGTTGACAGGGGACACCCTGAACCGGTTGCCATCCAATCGCAAGGCACACAGAGACGAACAACTATCCGCGCTCACACTCAACCCTAGGGAAAATTGTGAGTGTTCAATCAGCCTACCATGCATGTTTTTGGAATGTGGGAGGAAACCGGAGTACCCGGACAAAAACCCACGTAGGCATTGGGAGAACATGCAAACTCCACACAGGGAGGCCAGAGCCAGGATCAAACCCACGACCTCTGCACTGTGAGGTCGACGCGCTAACCGCTGGAAAATTCTGCGACGTAGGCTGCAAGCTTCCAAGTTGTTCTCATTTCAAAATAATTACTCCCATAAGAAATGATGGAACGTGACTTTATATAAATCATAGCGCCTTTTTTTTGAAATTGCTGTTGGGGGCTTAAGATCAGGGGATGATGCTAATAATTGTCATTCTGGACTTGTGAAGCCCTTTGAGAGAGTCTTGTGACGAAGGGGTTTCCACATAAACTCCAGTTGACTTTTAAGTTGTATTTTATTTTTTGTCAACCCCAGTGGGGCCTAATAAAATTACAGTAAATTAAAACTACTCACTGGTTTGAATAAATACGTTATAGTATGTGAAATAGTAAATGTGAGCATTGGTGAAATTATTTTCATGATTTTTGCGCATGTTGTACGCAGCAAGTTCTAAGGTGAAACAGAAAAAGCAACACATGATGATGGTTTGGACTCTAAGTTTGGTTTAGCTTTTGAATTGGACCACCTTTGGGGACGTTCCTATTTTGGGGCTTCCGCTGGATTATGAACAACTGCTGTGGGTCATTGTCATGTGCTGTTGTTTCCAACACTACCTGGTTTTAGCGCCTTCTTCATTATGACGGGTGCCGTTTCCCTCATGAACGAGTAGCTTTTCATCAGGAATCGAATCTGGAAAAAAAAAAAAAAAATTAATACTGTATATGAACGTAAGGGAAGTGCAGGTAAAATGTCCCAATGTACCATCACAAGTGCAGCCAATCCACAAATGTTTACATATTAATTATATTGCCAACATTATCTGACCACTTTGAATTATCTCTTGTGTCACGCTGACTTGCCAACAATGTAGTTTGGTTATAAAACAACAGGGTGATAAAAATGACCTCTTCAACATTTATCTCTTGACTCATCTAATCACTCTGAGTCAAACAATATTTGCACACTGACCTGCTCGAGCACAACGATAAAACGGGAAGCCGGCGGCAGCTGGTGCCGCACGACCATGTGGACGGGAAACAGTCCCAGAACAGAAATCTGGAGGGCAGCCAGGACCAGAGCTGTGCCCAGAGACAAGCCCAACTTGGAGGCGCAGCGGTGGTACAAAGCAGCCCAAAAGAGCAACACGTAGTAGGGAACAAGCAGGGAGTAGACGAACATGAGCGCCCACACCCAGGCAACCGTTCCCATCTTGCCGAAGGCATAGAAGAGCAGATCAAACTCCAGGACCAACCTGCCCAAAAGGGATCAATAAGTCACTCCTATCGCAGGTACGGCTTGAAAGTCTTTGAGGAGCAACATTCTAATTTTGCCGAGCACTTTTTTTCGCAGCTTAATCCCCATGGACCTGAAGGAATGACAAATATGACAATATAAACAATGAACAATTGATGACTTTTTTTCCCTTGTTTATCGCTGGCTTTACATTCCAAAAAGAAGTGAAATCCGTGAAGTAGTTATCTCCATTTTTTTTTTACAAGTACTATTCACCAAGGTCATCTCCCATCTTTTTTTTTCCCCAGCAATTTTCCCACATCCCAATCAATCATATATCGGTGAGTGTATCGAACAAACCCGCGGGTGAGCAAAACCTATAATCTGCAAACAGAATTCAAATTGCGGACTGTACTCAGACTGATATGGCCCTTAAAAAAAAAAAAAAAAAAAAAAGACTCTTGGGCCATGTTTGTTCTTCACACTGACCTGCCCTGGTCGATGTAGTCCACGGCCAGCGTGCTCACACAGAAGATGAGCAGCACAGCTACAAACATGTGGTAGATGGTCCTGATGTGGCTGATCATGAACAACTCACTGGCAAAGAGAGGGGGGGGGTATACTTTTATTGATTTCCACATCCAAACATGTCTGTCAGAATACTTGTTTTTTTATACTTTGTCAGTTCAGAAGCACTACCGGTAGTAAATACTGAATTGAAATAAAACATCTTGAGTCAAGATGTTTAAAAAACCTCCTACAGTTATAAGAGTAGGCCAAGTTTGTTGCTCAAGTCAAGTTGTGCATGTGTGGGAATGTCTCAAGTTCACCTTCACAGTCAAATTAGAAACATGCATCAATAGTTCGGCAAAATCGTGCTTACTCTAGCAGCGACGCTCGATCCATAAACACTTTGCCATCGTCCATCTTGTGAGATCTAAAATTAAAAACACACTCACATGTTTCATATATGGAAGAGATATCTCATCTTAGCTAGACTAGTGTTTCCCAATCTTTATTGAACCCAGGCCTGGATTTGAGAAAAAAAAAATTACAACACTACACCAAACAAAAAATGTCACAAAAAGTTCATTTGTGTATTTGCAATTTTTTTTTTTTTTGTGGTGAAAGCAAGCTATCCTCCGTCACTCACCTATTTACAATTATTACCTGGATGTACCAACTTTAGCCGTCTTCCTATTGACCGACGCGTGGACAGGCTCTGTCAGCTCCTTGTCGAGAATGTCACTCAGCAGATCCTGGACCTGCTGCAGGATCTTCACCTTCGCCCTCTGCAAGGGTACATACACATTCATATTTTAAAATACAAGGCGTGTATAATATTCCATGTTGATTGATGGTTTGAGTTGACCTGCGCATGTTCGCGCCAATGCTCCACATCCTCCAACTTTGCGCCGTCACGGCTCCCAGCTGTACGAGAAGAGCATGTTTGCTTATCATCAGCCAGAAAAAAAAGTGAAGAATTTAAAAAGTGATTTCATTTAGATTATTTGATAGGTTTCTATATATTCCCACTTCCTCAATTCAACTCAATTGTATTCATAGAGCACTTTAAAACACAGGTGTCAAAGTCAAGGCCCGGGGACCAGATCTGGCCCGCCATATCATTTTATGTGGCCCGCGAAAGCATGTCAAGTTCCATGATGCTTGCTAAAGTCTGAACCAAAATTTCAAATTGTCATATGTAATCCACAATAACAGTCCTTATTCTTGACTTCTGATTCCAAAACAAGTTATCCATCAATTTGTTGTGCGCCGTCCATGTAATATGTGGAAGTGATTAAACATTGATATGGTTTCCAAAAATTCATTACGGCCCGCCAAGGGAAACCGGAACTACAATGTGGCCCACGACAAAAATGAGTTTGACACCCCTGCTTTAAAACAACCATCGCTATATTCAAATTGCAGTGCAACAATAAAACAATAAGTTAATAACAAAGACAGTAGAAAGCACCAAACGGTAAGACTAAGATCAAGTCTGAGTCATGCCGTGTCAGATGATATCGAATACAAATGAGTTTTGAGAGGAGTTTTAAAGATGGGCAGCAAGGGGGCTTGCCGAATGTTCAGTGGGAGCTCATTCCAGAGAGAAGGACCAGCAACAGAAAAGGTTCCACCCCCTCTGAGCCTCCGCTTGGTTCTTGGTACCGGTACTTCCAATAATGTCTGGTCCGCAGATCTGAGACGCCGGGCAGGTGTGTAGGGGCGGATGAGCTCCAAGAGGTAAGGTGGCGCGAGGTCATTTAAAGATTTGAAAACAAATAATAAACTAATACATTTTTAAAAAAATCTTATTAAATACATAAGGACACGACGGTGCTTATTGTTAGAAACAAAACTACGGTATTGGCCCGAATATAAGACGGCCCTGATTATAAGACGAACCCCTCTTTTTCAAGACTCAAGTTTGAAAAAAGACTTTTTGAACACCAAATTAATTTTTATACAGAAAATAATTACAGTACATCTGAAACAAATGATTATAACAATGTATTTGAGAGAAAAAAGCATGTTATTTTGCCTCATTCAAATCTTAATATCTGAACATTTAAATATGTAAACTAAAGTGCAATCAAATTCGTAAATGAATGGCTTCTGGTTTTTGAAATGTAAATGACATCATAACTTCTCCTCAGCTGCCGGTTAACCTGGCCGACCTTCAACCCATTTTTCTCCAGATTGTCGCTACATTTCTCCATTTTCTGTAATCTCTTCCATTATTTTCTTCTCTTTTCTTTCTTACAGCTATTTTTTTTTCTTGTTCGTGCTACCGCTATTTTTATTTTTATTCTTCGTGACAGGGGTTCACTTTGGCCAGGGGAGTCAAGTTCATCATTCACTTCAATTAAATCTGGCGCCATCTAGCGTCGTCAATGGGTATAACCTCGAGACCCCGAATATAAGACGACCTCCACTTTTTCAGTCTTATTTCAATGCAAAAAACACTGTCTTTTATTCGGGCCAATACAGTATTTAAAACTGACTTGATCAAAAGGCTAAAACAACAGTCTGACGTGCTAAATGCTAAAACAGAGCTGACGTGCTAAATGCTAACAAAACTCCATCCATCCATCCATCCAACAAATGTTTACAAGAATCAACTGTAAATTGTTTACCGGTAAGCCCTTTCAGGGACAGCTGTTACTACAGCTTCCCATGTTATCAGCTTCCAGGGTGCACGAAAGGGTTAATACCTCTTTAACCGTGTCAATCATGTGAGCACGATTACCTTCTTTCTCTTCTCATATCTTACTTATCATGTACTGTGCTATCATACCGGGATTGGACATCTCATCCGGCGTCTGGGCTAAGATGCTCCTGTGCCTCAAGTTGTCAGCATTGCTTGGCTGTGTGCTTGCCATGACGACCAACACCGGGTGCAGTTTCGCCGGTGGATCCTGTTCATATAAAAGTAGAAACAATTCAGTAATTACTATGTATACTTACTGTCGATCATGTGCCACTGTCGCGACGGTGACTCAACAAGAGAGCAATCAGTGTCCTAACATGAAAAGGTCAAGGGTTGTTGGACTGAGGTAACCTATAGATAAAGGCTGTTATCAGTAGTTACTCAGCTAAATAATAGTGCGCCCACACTAAAGCGGATGCGTCCGAACCCACCAGCAGATTGTAGATCACATTGTAATGGCAACAGAATTTTGCTGCTGGAATATTTCTTTTCGTGCATAGAAAAAGGGGCACAATATGGTCATGTAACCCGAAATAAATCAAACAATTAATTAATTTCAATTCACTCATTTATTGGCCACTGTATATTTATTAATTTACCTCGTAAAATAGTTTTGGTAATTCATTCATTTTAAATTGCAGAACATTTGTTAAACGTCGCTGAAAAAGAGCTGCTCGCGTCGTCACGTGTCAGCTCTGCCCTGTTTGTCAGGGTAACAAATTTTCTGCAAATACATGAAAACCCCTGCCAATTATTATTATTTTTTTTTTTGACACTCTCCATGGTATTAATTGAACATAATTCATGAGTATGTTTTAAACTGCCTCAAACGACCCCCAATAGGATGCAGTGCAAACGACAGGCACAGTAATAACATTGCGTTACTTCTTTAGTTTCACTTTACTTTATAGCTGTTCCCATTCAACTCATGGCTTTTGGATGTTGCATTGCACTTGGTTGAATCAAGTCTGCACAAGTACAAACTGGAGCACTACATGCTAAAGCTAACAGTCATCAAAAGAATAACCTAAAAATTATCCCAAAAAAATGTATTCATTAATTCACGTACATGCACCGGTAGTGTATTTGGACAAGGCAGGTTTTTTGTTGTTGTTGTTGTTTTTTTATTTTAGACACAGCTGTAAAAGTTCACATTTGGGGCAGCCAAGATTCTGTGCATGCAAGCAATTTCGTGTGCAGTCAAAGGAAGATTAAATCATGCGGCACAAACATCAGATTACAATTGAATAGATGTCAGAATACGAAATCAGCTGTCCTCAGCCAAACCAAACTTTTCATATTCAGTGGAAATAGTCCCCCCCGAAAATCATCAAAAGGAGGCTTGTGACATTTCAATGTGCTATCCACAAAATCGATGGCAATTTCCTGTTTCAAAAAATGCTTTTTAAAGTGATGACAGCAGCAACGCACTCATCTTTTATTACATTACTGATGCCGGTTGTGTTGTCTACATCAAAATATCATCATTTTGATACAACGAATATACTCACAGTGATCTAACTCTGGGAGGTCCTCAGGATGGGGGACACGTTTTCACCCGGCGCCTCCTGCAGAGAGCTTTGCTGGAGAGTGTTCACGCCGCAGTGTATTAAGCGAGGATTTCTCAGCGAGTTTGCACTTTGCCCTTTTGGCTTCTGGTCTGGGTTCCGCATCCAGACACACACAGACACACACTCACACACACCCCTCTCTCCCCCTGTTCTTCCCTCATCGGTATTGGTAGCATGAGGATATTAAGGGCTCTGAAGGAGTCACAGTTTGGGCCAACTTCAACCATGTCTGGAAAAATGGACTTGTTCTGGTATCCTTAACTTGGAAAATCCACCAACATCATAATTATTGGAGAACAAATGTCAAATGCATCGTTTATTTGGGAACATTTCAGCTATTCTCAACAGATTTTTGAAACAGAATCTTGCGTTTACATTTTTTAAATGAGAAAAAAAAATGTGTTGTGTATGTGAACATTTATTCATCCATCAATCCATTTTCTAATCCGCTTATTCTCATGGACGCGCTGGCGCCTATTCCTGCTGCCTTCGGGCAGTAGGGTGGGGGACACCCTGAACTGGTTGCCAGCCAGTGGCAGGGCACACACATAGACGAACAACCATCCGCGCTCACACTCACACGAGGGACAATTTAGAGCAGTGGTCCCCAACCGCCGGTCCGCGGACCGGTACCGGTCCGCAGGGCATTTGG